TGGGGGAGGCATGCTGCCAGCCCTTTTCCCTGAGCGGCCGCCGTGCGATGCCTGAGAGCGGAGCTTGCTCCCAGACCGCCCTCGAAGAGCACCTCCAATAGTGCTGCCAACAGCAGCTGCCGCTGCCTCTTCCAGGAAAGCGGTTGGCGCTCTCTCGGCACCTCCAGCACCAGACTGGCCAGCAGCCACCTCAGCACCCAGCGCTGCTTCCTCTTCGTCCTGCTTCAGCTGCCTCGGCTCTGGAAGCTGTCTGGGCTCGCCTTACAAAGTTTGCTCCTCTGTCTTGCTGGGGGTAGCTGATGCTGCTGAGTGTGCCTTTTTTGAGGGGGGCCCTCAGAGGAAGGTTGCCGGACCTCCGTGTGCATGTTTGTGTGTGCCTGTGTGCACACACCTGTGGGGGTCCCCGCCCCATTCTGTTTAATTTCACGGGTACCGATGGGGGCTTTTCTCCTTTGGCAAGGCGATTCTGTGAGGGTTTTAAAAAAAAGTCGTGCCCTCCTTCCCCCCCCCCCGGCTAGGCGGTTGCCGGTGCTCCCTCCCTTCTCCGCTTCTTTGTCCTGCTGATGATGGTGGTGGTTGTGGTGAAGAAGGAGCTGGAGGGGGTCATGGCCAGCAACAAGGGCCGCCCCAGCCAGACTAAGGAAACTCCTGGGTGGCTTCCTCAGGCTATTGCTCCACTTGGCGGAAAATCTGATGTGGCCCAGCCTCACCCAGACTCTGCCTCCAGGCAAATTGAGTTTCAGTCCCCTGCCCTAAAACAAGCTGGACATGAAATCCTATTTGAAAATACTGAAATTTTGGACACTAGCAATCATTACGTTAGACTGCAAAGGGAAGCCATTGAAATCCAGAAACACCAGCACAGCTTCAACAAAAAAGAAGTTTAAAACTCAACAAAGCTTGGCTACCAGCACGGAAAAATACAGCGTGCAAAAGGTCAACGAACTCTCCCCAGCCACAAGGACTGGTGATCACTACACACAAAAGACCAGCTAACGACGCCCATCAATCAGTGACAGATAATCTCTCCTCTTTATCACAACAATACATCCACAACAAAAACACATTGATCACCGTAATCACCCATCTCCTGAAAAGGACAAAAGCTGATCCAACAGCTATAAATACTCAACTCCCAAACAAACTGCACCAGAGCACAGAGTGCTACTCCTGTCTTCTGAACATGCCGGCCACAGAGATGGTGAAACGTTAGGAAGAACAAACTTCAGAACACGACCAAAGAGCCCAAAAAAGACAGATAATCTCTCCTTATCACAACAATACACCAACAACAAAAACACACTGATCACCATAATCACCCATCTCCTGAAAAGGACAAAAGCTGATCCCACAACTCCCAAACAAACTGCACCAGAGCACAGAGTGCTACTACTGTCCTCTGAAGATGCCGGCCACAGAGACTGGCAAAATGTAAGAAAGAAGAACAACCTTCAGAACATGGCCAAAGCGCCCAAAAAACCCACAACAACCATTAGATCCTGGCCATGAAAGCCTTCACAAATCTATTCAAGAACTTTCATACTCACGGTTAGCTGTTTATTCAGTTTGAAGGAGGGAAGGTGCTGCTGGAAATAGGTAAGACTATTTCCATTTGCTCCATTTATACTCTTACTGTCCATACACTGCAAGTTTGTAGTCCAAACTAAATACAGAAATAAAATAAGCAGAATAATGGGCAGCAAGTGGAGAAGAAAATGACCACTCACAAGTACTGGTGCTTTGACAGTAGCTGGTGTGGGGGAGTGGAGGCAGCTGGGCTTTGAGAAGGAGACAGAGGCACTGGGAATGGGGCTACTGCCCTCGAACCAACTGTGCAATCCATTTATTTTTAGATAGTAACCTTATCACTTGCCCATATGCTTCCATCAAATAAGGATTTTCAGCGCACACTGAAAATACTAGTCTGGGGATCCTTCCTAAATTTACTGGGATTGCAGAGAAGGGGGAATTCCACCCCAGTTTATCAAAAATACTTATTTAATGCTTCTGATTAAACAGTTCAATGGATCTTGGTGCCTGTTGACCTTCACCCAAATACAATACACTTTTCTTGGAGATGGGGAAGAAGAGAACTGTCCTGTAGAGCTGGTTCTCACAGATGACACTGCTACGTAAGATGCTGATCAAGGCTGGTGAAACGATCGCAAATCAGGAAAAACTTGCCTTTTCTAAATTACATAAGTGTACAGTGGTACCTTAAGTTATGAACTTAATCTGTATTGGAACGGTGTTCGTATGTCGAGACATTCGTAAGTCGAGGCAAGATTTCCCATAGGAATGCATTGAAAACCATGTAATCCATTCAGGCTGTTTTCTGTTCGTATGTCGAGGTGCTGTTGGTAAGTAGAGGCATTAGTTCCCATAGGAACTAATGCAAAGCCGGTTAATCCGTATTCTACCACTAGGGGGAGAATTTTTTTCTTCTTTTGACCCAAGATGAACTTAGGTCAAAAAAGGGCAGAAAAAGTTTTTTTTCCGTTAGTAAGTCGAGGCTCCGTTCACAAGTCGAAGCAACATTTTGCGAATGGAGCCATTCGTAACTCAAAACATTCGCAAGTGGAGACATTTGTAAGTCGAGGTACCACTGTGTATCTATCTTGCTGCTACAAAGTGGCAAGCTCCATGTGAGTGCACTGCAGAACATAAATGGTTGTAAAAGCACCCAATTACAGTGGGGCCCCGCATAGCAAGGTTAATCCGTTCTGGACTAACCTTCGCTATGGGGAAACATCGCTATACGGAATGGAAAAGCCCACTGGAACGCACTAAACGAAGTTTAATGCGTTCCAAATGGGCCCAAAACTCACCATTCTGCGATGTTTCCCCATAGCGGCAGCCATTTTCGCGCCCTCAGTAAGCGCGGGCAGGACGCGAAAACACGGCGCACGGCCATTTTGGGTCTTCCAGTGGCCATTTTGGAACCGCCGATCAGCTGATTTTAAAAAAACGCTATGTGAAGATCGGTAAGCGAAACGCTTACCGATCGTCGCTAAGCGATTTTTGCCCATTGGAAACGTCGGTATGCCTTCGCATTAGCGATCCCAAAAAACGGATCGCTATGCAAATTCATCATACGGTGCGCTCGTTAAGTGAGGCACCACTGTATTTGTCCTGCTTAAAAACAAAAGCCAAAGGATACGTTTGTTAAAAGCTGCATCTATAGTTAACAAAATAGGTGGATGAAAAATACGTATTAAATACTACAGCAGCATATTGATTTCAGGTTTTGTTTATCTCTTTTTTGTTGTTTTTGCTTATTCCAGCTATTTCTTTCCCTTTATTTATGCTAAATCTGGACTGGATGAAACCTATACTCCCTCCTCCAAGTCTAACTTTGTAGCAACTGTTACGAAAATCACTGGGTTCATTTACCCTGAATAAATTTGTAGACATACATATTTATGTTGTGTAATCATGATGGTGGGGAGGTTGGAAAAATAGTTTTCAGGGCAATGCCACTGAAAGACCTTTACAAAACATTGCTTTTTATAGGCACACACAAGCAGCTTGAAAAGTCAAACATTTAGAGATCTACCTGATTCTAGGAAACTTCCAGTTTAACTCTGATCACAAGGTTAATTTCCTGGCCAGTGGAGGAACAGACTTGAAAGGATTGATTCTTCTTGTTGCAATCAATGAACCAATCAATCTACTTCCACCCTTGGCTTTACCTTCAAATGAGCAGCAGGTTTATTTACACTACTCTGAGATAGTGGACCATAGCAGTTGATTAAAATAAGCTGTATTATTATTACCTTCTCCTAACATACATGTGATCATTTTTTGGAATTTAGTTCCCTGGGACACTGATAGCCGTAACAGTGCTCTCCCACTGCAGAGATTTTGTCACCATGTACTTCAGACCTGGTACCCTGTATTGTTCATGTCCCTAGCTGAATTTGCCACTGCTGCCTTCTTGGGAAGGGGAATATGCTATTATGGAAGGTGTCTTCTAATTCATGTTGTACTGAAGTTAGGCAAATCTGAATTTGACCTCAGCCAAATCACTGCAGCACATTGGATATGCTATTTGCTTTCCTGTTCTTTCTGTTGACACAGTATTCTTGCCAGAATGATTTATGGACTATATTCTTTTTTAAAAACTGCACTTATTCCCGGATGAGCAACCCTCACCGTGTTACCAGCAGTATATTGCCCCTTGTAGCAATGCCGTTTAAGTAATTCAAGTACTCCACAATAAGTCAAGGAACTTTTATTACATCAGTGGTATCTTTTTCTGCAGGTTAAAAACTGCAACTTGTACTCAGGTTCTACAGTCCATTAAATACTGAGGATTTCATTTGTCTGGATAGTCAGTCTATAAAATCATCATCTGTCCCTTCATCCTAAACAGTGGAAAAGGAAAAAAAAGACTCAAGTTCAGCAGTTATGTCAAAAGAAACAGACCCACATTAATCTCTTATCTGAAGAATTTAAAATCCAAATATGTTTTCTGCTGTATGAAGTGAGTTTCTCTAGTGTAGCTGGTGTTTAAAACAGACATGAGCAACATTCCAGAAAAAGAAAATGAACAGCCCATATTGCCTTTCAAAAGCATGCTCTAGAACGTAAACCAACTTGATTTCATTTTCTAACAAAAGATAACTTTCTGTAGACGGTGTCTATTATGTGACAAAGCAATAAATAAGCAAGTTTTAGCTGAGGAATGACTGCAGAGTAGGGAGAAGCAAAGGCAGGAGCTGTAACCACGTAGAATGAGAGACAACAGCATGTGCATATGTTTTCCTGTCCAATTCCAGGCATTATAATTAAAAGGAAACAGATTTAAAAGAGATTTAGGAAGATGTTGAACTGAGAGAACAAAATGCAAATACATTTCTCTCAGAGATTGGGTGGGGATGTCAGTAATATTTAACAGTATAATAAGCAGCATCTTCTGACTTTAGACAATGGCTGAAATTGTTGTTTAGCTCTGCATACAGAGTGGAGATGACACAGTGGCAAATTGCAGAAGGGAATTTTGGAGTCCATCTGACTCGTACACAGTGTAACATTTTTGCACCCGAAATCCCCAAATGAAGCCTTTAAATAGCAGCCATTTAAAGTCCTGTGGCACAGTGGTTAAACTGTAGTACTGCAGTTAGTCCTCTGCTCACAACCTGAGTTTGATCCCAATGGGTCCAGAGGCTCAAAGTTGACTCGGCCATCCATCCTTCTGAGGTTGGAAAAATTAGTCTCCAGGTGGTTGAAGGGCAAGTTGTTGTTTGCACTATCATGCTGTAAACTGCTCAGAGTGTGCTCTAACACTATGGAATGATACAGTATATAACTTGAAACAAGCAATTTGTAGCCATAAAGCTACACAACAGGATTTCAGCCAATATGTTTAAGACCCGGCAAGTTTTGCTTTGCTGCAAGTTCTTCAACACAGCCACAGTTTTTAGCTGACTGATGACAGAAAATTCTACAAAAACAGGCTGAAAGATAACTCCACCTTTCACCCAGTACTATAGTAATGAAAGAAGACCAAAGCTGCTTATTTATCCCAGTGTAGATGCTACAATTCTCCTTTAGTCTTTACTAACCTCAGAAAAGTACTGCTGATCATAGTTCTAGTCAATCACATGGAAAGATAAATAAAGTAGAACTGCAACAAGTAGTCAAGTTAATCTAAAAATATATATTTTTGACTGTAAAAGATGTCCTCAATTAATTAGCATTCCCATTCTATAAAGGAGAAGGGCAGCTTCCAAAATCATGCCTGCTATAGCTCATGCATTACATAAAAGCAATAACAGGCTTTCTGCTTTAAAACTTATTTTATAGGCAAATGATGCAGATTTAATGAAGTGATCACAGTTCTCTAACTAGGTGATAGCTCTTTATTTTTAAAAATGAATATACAAGTGTACTAACCTCCTCAATTTTTGATTTCTTGGCAATGTATTCGTCATCTTCATAGCCTTTCCTCTTCTTTCTAATACCAGTGGCATAATACAACAAAAAGGTACAAAGTACATGTCAGCGAGAATACTATTTTTGCCTTCAATTCTGTCTTTTTAATATCCACAAAAGTGGAATAATCTAACAAAATAGGAATTTCCCTTCAATTTGACATAAAGTAGCTGTTAGTGCAACAGCACAGATAACTTAAAGCTACTCATAAAGAACTCTTGTTTCTGCTAAAACAAAGAGGCTACTGGCACTTCAAAGCAACAACATACATATTTATTTGGCACATGCTTTTGTAGACTGGAGTCCATCAGGTGAATGATGTATTTATTCATAGTTAGCAAGCATATAAACATATCAATGTAGACATAAAAATGGTAATCACATTCAAGCATAATGTATGCAAAATGACCATGGTGCAGGTGTTTAAAGTAATGATCAAACTGTATTTTGCGTTTCATATCTGCCTGAAACCATCTATACCAACTGATAAACAAGAACAACAGTTCATCTCTTTGACGTGGACTGCAGTCTGCATACACTTGGTGCAAATATTTGGTTAAGCCATTTTAAGATGCCCCACCACTTTAGCTATTATAGACTAGCAGAGCTATTCTTCTGGAAATTAGTTTATATAAAAGCTTCAGGTAAATATTGTACATCCAAAGATGCCCTTGCATTAGCACAAGGCCACTCCTGTTATCAAGGGCCACAGGAAGATCAGGGAGGAGTAACAGGGTTACACTCTCCCTGTCTACTTCCCTTAGATCATCTTGCAGTATCACCAATGCTGTTTCAGTACCGTAAAGGTAAAGGTTCCCTTGACAAATTGTTTAGTCGTGTCCAACCCTAGAGGGTGGTGCTCATCCCCATTTCCAAGCCGTAGAGTACCATACCATAGCTTAAACCCAGACTGAAATGGATCCCGACTATCAGTTTCTTCAAGAATGCCTGCAACTAATCAGCCACCATTCTCTATACAGTGGTGCCCCGCTTGACAACGATAATCCATTCTGTTAAAATTACTGTAAAGCAAAATCGTTGTCAAACAAAAGTAAAAAAAACCCATTGGAATGCATTAAAAACCAGTTAATGCGTTCCAATGGGTGAAATACCTCATTGTCCAGCGTAGATCCTCCATAGGGGAAGCCATTTTCGATCGCTGTCTTCCAGAAATAGGTCCAGAAAACAGCGGGAGGCCATTTTGAAAACCCGACGATCAGCTGTAAAGATCGTCATCAAGCGAAAAATTTGTTCCCGAAACAGGGAACTATTCAACGTAAAGCAAAAATCGCCCATAGAAACGTCTTTTTGCAATCGCTATAGCAATCGCAAAATTTTTGAAATCGCTATAGTGATCGCAAAAATGTCATTGTAAAGCGATTTCGTCGTCTAACTGGGTCGTCGTCAAGTGGGGTACCACTGTATTAACCTGCCCATAAATGGAATATTTGCAAGGAGTCTATAGTTCTTTAGATCATCCATCACCACATTCATTTTCTTAAGAATGAGCTTTATTACAATATTTCCTTACAAGTACATGATTGCATGCTACAATATGTGCCAGCATGACACAACTAAAAATAAAATACTATGTCATTTCAAATTATTCAGCAATTGAAAGACCACTTGGAGCTCAAACTCTGAAAAATATTTTTATTGATCCACATAGAAAGCATCTTATCTATAAAGGTAAAGGTTCCCCTTGACATTTAGTCCAGTTGTGTCTGACTCTAGGGGGTAGTGCTCATCCCCATTTCCAAGTCGTAGAGCCAGTGTTTGTCCATAGACAGTTTCCATGGTCACGTGGCCAGAGCAACTAGACACGGAATGGCGTCACCTTCCCACCATGGTGGTACCTATTTATCTTCTTGCATTTGCATGCTTTCAAACTGCTAGGTTGGCAGGAGCTGGGACAAGCGACAGGAGCCCTTAAGACTGCTGGACTTCTGACCTTGTAGCACAGAGGCTTCATCACTGCTGGACTTCTGACCTTGTAGCAAAGAGGCTTCTGTGGTTTAACCCATAGCACCACCACGTCCCTATGATAATCTATAGATTATATTATGAATATTAACACTAAAGAAATCACCATGCAGTTTTAAACTAATACTTACACATTTGTATTAAGACCAAGCTCTGGACAGTGACATTTCTCTAGCTTCTGTTTCAGAGCAGCAACCTCTTCTGGATGTGGTAGCTCGTATTTTTTCACCATATTTTTCATGCCTACACAGAAGCAACAAAAATCAAAATACCATTAGACTTGTTCATTATGAGAGAGAGCAATACACTCCAAATATTCCTGCTGCACCCCTGCATGGGTAGTATGATCCCATTTCTGCCCTCATGCTCAAGTCCTATGGATCAAATCAGGGGTGGGCCACATGCAGCCCCCAGGGCCATTTTTGCAGTCCACCCCTACGAATTTTGCAGTCCACTTCATAACTTTTGTTTAAAAAGTTGTTTTATGCCCTGTAGGGGGCACTTGCATCATGTTTTTATAGGGCTCAAGTACAGAGAACCCATGTTGCCACCCTCCCCCACAATTTAATTTTTGGCTTCCACATGACACGAGGGGGGGGGTTTAAGTTAAAACTTTATTTTAATTAACTCCATTTTTTTAGGGAACAAAAACTCTTTGCAGCATCTTTTACAGTGCTTAATCACCTCTTTTTTAAAAAGTTTATTTAAAAAATAAGGTTTTCTGGCATTATATTAGGTAGACTACATAGTGCCAAGTGTGATCTAATCTGAAAAAAATCTTAACTGCTGCAGGTAAAGCTTACTTCAAGCTACGTAAGTCCTCCCCAGTTTGATGACCATCCATTGCTCTAGACCTCAACTACCATCCGAGCCAGCTACATGGCTAGTAGTCATAAATGCTGAGAGGTACATTCCAAAACATCTCAGTGCCATTAAATTGTGCAAAGCTCACCTGTTCGCCCCAACATACAAAACTACCAAAACAAATTGGGCAAGAATGCCTCTCCTGATGAAATAGGAGGATGGCATGATGAAAGAGACAGATGTCATGACAGACATCAGTAAAGTGGCAGAAAAGACTCCTGCTGAGAGAGCCACTTCCTCTAGGAGATGGCTCAGGCCACTTGCAAGCATCAAGATAAGAATGGCTGAAATCTTATTGTGCTGCTACTCGAAAGGCGTAACTGAGAGGCAAATGGCCTCAGGTTAAGAAACTTCCATGGACAGTGGCTGAAATCAGGTTAAGAAACTTCCATGGACAGTGGCTTACTATAGTAAGCTGCACTATTAGGCTATTGAATCTTGGGATTTTGTGAGTCAAGTCCTCTGTAAGCTACATTGATTCAAGTCAACCTACTGTATTTGCAACTTTTGATCAGTGAAATTTAGGAATAGATGATTTACCAAATGCATACTGATTCAGTGAGCCTATTGTAGTGCAGCTTAATATGCTAAGCAATGTGATTTCAGCTATTATCTGGCATGCCCAGTTGTGTGACTCAGTATGCAAAAGCAACTTCTCCAGGGTTAAGAAATGTCTGCAGAGATTTCTCACTCAAGGCAATTTACCTCCAAAAGTTACGCTTTTTGTGCAGCAACACAAGATTTCAGCCAATATATTTCAAGGTTGTCCTCCTCTCCTTCTGCCTAACCAAATTTTACATATCACAGATGTCAAGCAGTATTGTGCAGATACTTAGCAGGCTTTCCATCAAATTAAAAGCAAGCTCTCTTGTTAGAGCAAATGTTATGTCAACTGAGCAGTACTCTAACTTCTTTCAAATAGGTTCACAGACAAAGTCTTGGCTTAAAATTTGCCACGTAACATTCTTCCCCCCTTTAGAGAAGCTAAGATTACATTTGTAAGACTCTTAGCTGTCATCTTACATCAGAGGATTTATTCTAAGTAATGTCAAGACATAGTGCAAGTATGAAGTGAAGAACTATACGGAACTAGTTGCTTACGTTATGGTTTTGGATTTCCTTGAGGCTAATGGATAATGCAGAGTTAGCACTACTGTCCCAGGGAAACTGTCAGAGACACAAGGCACATTTTGCATATCAAGCCTTCAGAATATAAATCAATTGAAGGATGTGTTGTCTTTGATGCAAGCATAAAAGAAGTATCAAGGACAGTCTAGTAAGCACCAGTCTACTAAAAAACCATCAGCAGATTTGTTTTGATGTTTTGTGTGCTGTAGACTACAAGTTTCAGGCAGTTAATACCTTTCAGGTTGGGAAGGAAGGGAGGATCAAATGCCCTCTTTTATTTCCTTATGGTGCTAAAGACAGCACTAAAGTTTTGTTTTGTTTTCATGTAAAAACTTCTGCCCTGAAAATCAGGTCTCACTTAAGACAATGACTGTAATCCACAGCTGTCCTTTCATAAATGAAAATTGCCATCCTTCTCCACAAAGCCCCCTACACCATTCTTGCAGTACTCCAAACTTCTGGAGCAGATGGGGGGGTGTGCAAAGGGAAGGGGAGAGTGGTAAAAATGTCCAATACGTGAATAGAACTTTCAGTGGGCACAACCCACCAGCAGTACTGACAAGAAACTAGAAACAGGAGCAAAGGAGACCTAGGTTTGCTGCTTCAAGCTTACTGGAGTAAAGGTATGATATAAATGAAATGCTAGAAGCTATCAAAATCAATACATTATTTCCAACAGAACTGTTTCTCGAGAAAAAAAACTCATCCGAAAGTATTCAGGCTTGTTCCAAAATGACAACCAGAATTAAGACATCTTAACCGAGTGATGGCGAACCTATGAACAGAAGCCTCCCTTGGCACACAAGCAGAGCACTACCCCCCACCCCATCCCTCAAACCATCATCAGCCACCTCCTCTTGCTAATTTCCTGGGTTACAGCACTCCTTCTTTAAGAGATCTCTTTAAGAGATCGGAAATAAGCCTGTTTGATTGGTTACAGATGGCCCTGGGAGTCAAATGAAGGAACCTGCAACTTCAAATGTATGTACAAAATAGAGAGAGCGAGGAGTTTTTGTGTGTTACCTTGAGTTTGTTTCATCAAAGCAGAGTGTCTCCAGTGAGGAGTTTTTGTGTGTTTGTGTGTTACCCTGAGTTTGTTTCATCAAAGCAGAGTGTCTCTTTGGGAACTTGGTTTTTTTCCTTGTCAAAGGGTTCTGTGTTAATGCTGTGGCATCAAAAGTTTAGGAAAAAATTTGTCTGTGTGTTTGTGTGTGTACTTTTATCTGGTACCGTGGCATCAAAAGTTTAGGAAAAATTTTGTCTGTGTGTTTTTGTGTGTACTTTTATCTGGTATAAATGTTACCCTGAGTTTGTTTCATCAAAGCAGAGTGTCTCTTTGGGAACTTGGTTTTTTTCCTTGTCAAAGGGTTCTGTGTTAATGCTGTGGAATTAAAAGTTTAGGAAAAAATTTGTGTGTGTCTCAAACTGTTAATCTCCACTGCATTTAGCTCTGCATTGTGTGTCTCAAAACTATTAATCTCCACTGCATTTAGCTCTGCAGTTTGAGAACAGTAGAAATCTGAATTGTGTAGCAATTGCGTTTCTCTGTTTCTCATCCCCAAAGGAGGCAAGAGTGTCACAGTTTATTTCCAAAATCTGAATCCCAGTCTTTCTGCAGCTGGTCCTACTTTGAGTGCAACACCAAACAAAAGGTCTTTAAAAAAAGACTGCGGGTTCTTTATTGTGTCAATCCATCTCATGTGCAGTCTTCCTCTCTTTTCCTACTGCTTTGCATTTTTCTTGCATTGCTGCCTTTTGCAGTGAGCTTGTCTTCTTATGGTGGTAGTACAGTACTCTTTGTTTGGTTATTTTAGCTTGTAGTGAAAGTCCACACTTAATTTGCTTTACTTATCTTTCCGACAAGTCATGCTATCTGTAAAACTGTTTTCCAACACTACATTTCAGATAAATAAATTGTGTGTATACACTTTAAGTAGTGTATAAAATGTGTATTTAAAGTCTGCACTCCTATATATAGCTACTTTTCTGAGGATGGTTTATTTTGGAGGAAATAAGTCCAGAATTTCAATGTACATAATAAGCTTTTTAAATGTTGTTGCTGTTTAGTCGTTCTGTCCCACTCTTCGTGACCCCATGGACCAGAGCACGCCAGGCCCTCCTGTCTTCCACTGCCTTCCGGAGTTGGGTCAAATTCATGTTGGTCACTTCGGTGACACTATTCATCCATCTTGTCATCTGTTGTGCCCTGCTCCTCTTGCCTTCACATTTTCTCAACATCAGGGTCTTTTCCGGGGAGACCTCTCTTCTCATGAGATGGCCAAATTATTGGAGCCTCAGTTTCAGGATCTGTCCTTCCAGTGAGCACTCACGGTTGATTTCCTTCAAAATTGATAGGTTTGTTTTCCTTGCAGTCCAGGGGACTCTCAAAAGTCTCCTCCAGCACCACAATTCAAAAGCATCAATTATTTTGTGGTCAGTCGCCTTTGTGGGCCAGCTCTCACTTCCATACATCACTACTGGAAAAACCATAGCTTTGACTATGTGTACCTTTGTTTGCAAGGTGATGTATCTGCTTTTTAAGATGCTGTCTAGGTTTGGCATCACTTTCCTCCCAAGAAGCAGGCATCTTTTAATTTCATGGTTGCTGTCCCCTTCTGCAGTGATCATGGTGCCCAAGAAAGTAAAATCTGTCACTGCTTCCATATCTTCCCCTTCTATGTGCCAGGAGGTGATGGAACCAGTGGACATGATCTTGGGGTTGTTTTTTTTTATGTTGAGCCTCAGACCATTTTTTGCACTTGCCTCTTTCACCCTCATTAAGAGGTTCTTTAATTCCTCCTCACTTTCTGCCATCAGAGTGGTATCATCTGCATATCTGAGGTTATTGATATTTCTTCCGGCAATCTTAATTCCGGCTTGGGATTCCTCCAGTCCAGCCTTTCACATGGTGTATTCTGCATATAGGTTAAATAAGCAGGGGGACAATATACAGCCTTGTTGTACTCCTTTCCCCATTTGAACCAATCAGTTGTTCAATATCCAGTTCTAATTGTTGCTTCCTATCCCACATATAGATTTTTCAGGAGATAGACAAGGTGGTCAGGCACTCCTATTTCTTTAAAAACTTGCCAGTTTGCTGTGGTTCACACAGTCAAAGGCTTTTGCGTAGTCAATGAAGCAGAAGTAGATGCTTTTCTGGAACTCTCTGGCTTTCTCCATAACCCAGCGCATATTAGCAATTTGGTCTCTAGTTCCTCTGCCCCTTCAAAATCCAGCTTGTACTTCTGGGAGTTCTCAGTCCACATACTGCTGAAGCCTCCCTTGGAGGATTTTGAGCATAACCTTGCTAGTGTGTGAAATGAGTGCAATTGTACAGTAGTTGGAGTATTCTTTGGCACTGCCCTTCTTTGGGATTGGGATGTCCACTGATCATTTCCAGTCCTCTGGCCACTGTTGAGTTTTCCAAACTTGCTGGCATATTGAGTGTAGCACCTTAACAGCATCATCTTTTAAGATTTGAAACAGTTCAACTGGAATGCCATTACCTCCACTGGCCTTGTTGTTAGACATGCTTTCTAAGGCCCACTTGACTGCACTCTCCAGGATGTCTGGCTCAAGGTTAGCAGCCACCTTATCTGGGTTGTCTGGGCGCTGCATGTGTTGCTCTCAAACTAACAGCATATGGGCCAAGGTTTGACAAATTATCAGTATGCATACAACATCAAAAAATCACGTTGTGCAAAAGCATGCCAAGTTGAGTATCCCTTATCAAAAATCCATGCATATAATTATTTTAAAAGCTTGTATAAATTACCTGGCTTGTATTACTTCTTATCTGGGTTGTCTGGGCGCTGCATGTGTTGCTCTCAAACTAACAGCATATGGGCCAAGGTTTGACAAATTATCAGTATGCATACAACATCAAAAAATCACGTTGTGCAAAAGCATGCCAAGTTGAGTATCCCTTATCAAAAATCCATGCATATAATTATTTTAAAAGCTTGTATAAATTACCTGGCTTGTATTACTTCAATGTTTGTTTCCATTTACTAGAGTTAATGGTTATTTTTCAATAAAAAGTGTTTGTATTATTGAAAGTTCTGTTATGTTTTGAAGACAAGGTGATGATTAATTCAGATATCTGTATGAGTTGTTTTTTCTAAACTAAAACATTAGTATTGATTGAATTGCAGTGTTGGCACTGTGAAAGAAATAATTTGGTTTTGTGTCGCCGTTTGGGCATTCGGGCTCAAAAAGGTTAGCCATCACTGTCTTAACCATTTCCCTAAATTGTGAGGCTGTAATAACCTTGACAGATTTCCTCTGTCTACCTCTCTGTCAAGAACTGTTCAAGCCCACTGCTAGTACAAGAGGTAGGATTGGCTGTTTTATTTTTAGATTTATGCCCAAGAAGAGAGGAAGGAAGAGGAAGCTGGGTTGCTTCAACTTATTGATACCATACTCAACCAAAAAACACTGCTAAGTATGAGACTGCCTTTAATAGTCCTCAGCGGTGCTAAAGAGAATGATAGAGCTAGATTTGACTATGGGGCAAAGGGAATGGATACTGCTGTAGAACCTATAAAAATGACATTAAAATACAGTGGTTTTTAATGTAAAACAGATAGAAAAAAGAAGCTTCTTCCTCAGAGACCAAATGTCTGCTTGAAGAAAAAAATCCTTTGCCTGCTGGCAAAAGCACAGCAGGGGATGGCATGGGGAGCAGCATGGCCTGCCTCAGTGAGGAGCTCCAGAACTAGTGCAGCACTGTCTTGTGTCCCCACCTGATGTGCCTCCAAAGCTTATTGAACCAAAGCCTTCCTGAAATTCCAAAGACCCCAGGCAGGCTCATACAGGAAGAAAGCCAGGGCTCAAGCTGTCAAGGGCTCATGCCTTACTTCAAGTTGTGCCTGAGATGAACATCCTATTATGCACTAGACTGTACAACTTTAAAGCTCTTGATTATGGGTGAATAGCTTTCAACATGAAGTGTAATAAAGAAATAAAAGAACAGCTGGAAGAAGGCTAGAGCAACCTGCTGTTAGTTCTATCAAAACTGAATGTGACCTCTTTAGGTGTCTTTCAGATCGTGTAGAGGTGGAAGATGCACAAATGGTCTTGCCTCGCACCCTCTGCTGACAATTTTTGTACCTGTGGCGAGGGGGGGGGGTTAAAATTGGCACATATCAAGGCAATTAGGTTACTGTTCTATCAAGCCAAACCAATCTCAGAGTTAAACCGCTGGGGCAAAGACAGATGTGAATACAGATCTATGGCATTTCCTGCCAGCTATTAATTCTGTACAGTATGTGGGAAGAACTGGATTGGAGCAGAAGTATTCTTCCAATCCCTCTCTCTTATGTGGCACGCAATGGAACCGCTAAGACAGCCAAGATAAAGAAGCACAACAGGATTTGTTGGCTGCGCATCAGAGATGCAGTTTCTCTGCTTCCACCACATATTTAACACTGAAAAGGAGGCATCTGGGGATTTGCCTCATAAACCTCAACTTTGGGGAACACAAGGGCTGTTTTAGAACTTAGATGTTCTTTAAAAAAAGGAGTGGTGAATGCCTGTTTCTAGAAAAGAAGGCCTTTTAAGATTTAAAACAGCCCTTTTTACCAGAAAAAGTCCTGAAAGACAGCAAAGCTGAGAGTAAAACGATTTGCATGAGGTGGGGAGGGCACAATCTGTATGTTTTCCCTCTAAACACACTCCTGCTATTTGAGAAGTGGCTGTTTTTGAGAGGATATACGCTCCTGCACAGCCCAGAGAACAGCAAAAACAACCCCTATGGTACATGTACCACAAAAATGATCCCTGCAAGTTGTCCACCCCTTTCTACATGTACCACAGTCAAATCCAGTTGGTTCCAATAAAACTGTTACTTGTATCATTATATTTTACCATATTTGCAGTATAATTTTAGATTGCCTGGAATCACTAGAAAGAGACATTTTCGATTTTTAAAAAGCTACTGAAATAGAAGCCAACTGTAGAAATGCTGGTGACTGCTTATAAGCATCGAAAAGAAAAACTCTACCGCCTTTCAAATGGCTACCAAGTCTTTTGCAAAGCTTCTTTCCCTCTAGTAGTATGTAGAACACTTTAAAATCTGTTCATCCTTACTTACATTTCATCCCATCCAGCAACTGAGTGAGGGAAGCTTTGTTCTCTTTCAGCATTAGGCTTTCTGACAAGTAACTGTCAAAAGATTGTGAAAATTAGATCCCAGTGCTAGTGTTTAGATGCAAAAAGAAGTCAAAACTAGCTATGAAGAACATTTAAATTAACATACTCCCTGTAAAATGTAATTCTTCTACCTAATACTTAATGTTAGATGATGGAAAGGATTTTTTTTCAACAATATCTGATTTGCATAGCACACTATAAAAAAAGGAACAATGCCCAACAAAAACCAGTGTAAACATGTTGCAGTGAAAGCAAAGGTGATTAGAATGCTCTAAAACGTCTTTCATTTCTAAAAACCTGCATCACATAAGGAATCACAGATAATTTCCCCAAAAGCAAACAATGGTAATCTGAAATGTAGTGGCAGTCTAGAAACATTGACTTATAGTTTCAGTGTACGATAAAATTTTTAAAGGCTGCAAAAGTAATCACTTTACAAGCAATGTTTGAGACATAACAGGATCAAGGGACAAGAAATGAGTAAATTTCATGAGGAATTACTTAGATCTTCAAATACTAGACTGCACCTACCTTCTTCCAATCACTGCCTCACACAAACCTTATTAAACAACCAGTAAAAAAAACCTGATCATAACCTATGAACAAAGACAGCAACCCAGCTCTGCTCCCTCAATCCTAGTTCCTGCATGTAAAGAGTTGAATTTGAATAGCAGTCTCTACCCATGGGGGTTGTCCATGTAATCCAAATCCTTGAAGGATCAGAGCTCCTGGCCACACAGAGTGATACCACTTTCCTATTTAGATTCGGCTCCACACACACAAAGTAGGATGGAGGGGCAAAACTAGGCTGCTCCCTTTGCCCATGGGTTAGGATTAACCCTGTTATAAAAAACCCAAACAGGGCTATGGTTGCACATGCATGAATTATAGGACGGATCAGACCAGAGGTCTTGTCAAAACCAGTATTTTATTCCCTTAGTGACCAGCCAAAGAATACTTAGGAAGCCAAGGGGCAGACCATGAGTACAAGTGCATCTTCCCTGTCATCCTCTCCCCTGTCTGGCAGTCAGCTGCATACAGTCTCTGAAACTAGAGATGTTGTATCACCAACATGTCTAGTAAATCTTGACAGCATTATCCTCCACAGTAAGCGGCTACTTCGGTTGGCCACCCATATAGGGATTTGCCTAGACTAAGCCTAAAGAACAGCAACGACTCAGCAACTATTACACCATGTTCTAGCAAAATTTTAGCACCACAAATATACCCTTCCGTGGCTGTATAAAAGTCTTGTACAGATGGCACCAAGAAAAGATGTTATTTCACTCTATGTTTTCTATATTCAGAAGATTATCTACCTTTCCATATTAATTCCTGCCCTAGATGCACTGGAGAGGATAGCAGTGAGAGCTATTTGAGATGGCGTATACAGGAGGCAAGCGTCTGTCAAGGCAACCCGATTAAGAAAGTCATCAGCTGTCTTTCTCAATGTCTCAGGATTCTCAAGCAATGGATAACGAGTCTAGAAAACAAGCACCCAAGTATTAATGCATCAGCATCATATACAGATTAATACTTCCATTATTTGCATATTTAAGACAGGTCTTAATAGTTTTGTTTTCAAAGAGTAAACCAAAATTCTGATGGGCCAGATTGTTTAAAGCAAAAATATGAAATGGAGGCATGTGACTATCCTGGCCCTTCTGACCCACATGAAAATCATCTAAAAGTCACAGCATTATGGTTTTAATGAACCAGTATAATGTAATTGCTAACTTCTACTGAACTCAAGAATGCTAGAGAAGCAACAGTCTTCTACGCCTGCCCGCCTCAACCTCTGGCCCTCTAGATGCTTTGGATTTCATCTCCTAAAAGCCCTACCCAGTGTGTCAGATTGTCAAAGATTCTGGGAACTGAAGTCTGTAACATCTGTATGCTGCCACTCCATTCTTAAGAAGAAAACACCTCACTTGTTTAGAAGTTCAGTATAGCACAAATTTTAAAATGTGGAACCTGAAATAGTATTTTGGCCAGCCTAGTACATCATAGTCAGCTTGAAAAGGGCATGGATTTGCAAAAAAGATGCATTTTTATTCTTCTCCCATGATATCCATAACCCTTACTTCACTATTCTTGATCTGCATTAGTAAGGAAGTTGTTGAAAAGACATATGCCACCTGGGAAATTCTGGGAACCACCATCCGAAAGCACAAACCAACTGCACCCTATAGTTCTCAAGAAGGAAGTAAAGCCAAAATCTTGCTGTGGGAATTTAACACACTAATTCCCTGATCACCATTTTGCCACTCAGATGTGTAAACATCAATTAATAACTTATTCCAGCATGTTGAAGACAAATAGGAAATGCAGATTTTGAAATATGTACAAAGTCAGGCAAATCTCAGATGCAAAACAGGCTCACTTAAATGACAAAGGAATACTGTTAGCCTCTTTAAGTATCACAGCATGACTACTTTATTACAAAATACTTCTGCTCTTCCTGAATATAGCAGCTCCACTGTCCAGATGTAATGGTTAAGAACATAACTTTATGAATGTGATAGGCTGGACTGACCTAGCCAGAAGCCAAATGGAAAATCCACAAGCAAGCCATGAGTGACACAAATCCTGTCACTCATATTATCCAGAAACTGGCATTCAGAAGCATTTTATCTCCTGATATTATGCAGCCAATACACTTTGTATCGTTCATAGTTAAATACTTTCAAAATGGTTCTTAAAATTTAAGAAACTTTTCTTAAGCAACAAAGATCTGTTACCTTCAAATCAATCAAGAAGCCTTCAAAAGGCCTGTAAGGGTTGTGCACTATAAGATGAAAGTTCAGTTGCTGAATAAGTAGCAATTCATATTCCAAAATCTGTTCCAGAGCCTTTTCCTGTCCTATTGGACTTTCACGAAGGTTACCGACAAACTGTGCACTAGACACATTAAATTCGTCTACTTTACATGCCAAGAATGCACATGTTAACCTTAAAAACAAACACAAGAGATTTGGGTCTAATGAAGATAATTATATACACTTAAGACACAAATCATTTACAACATTCCAACCTAAATTCTAAACAAACACAGAGAAAACTTTTCCCTAATATAAAAGCTAAAATCTTTAATGTCATTCATAACTTTGAAATTAGGAGCACTTATTCAAAGTAAAACATGAAGGGTTTTAGTTAACTCACATAATTATGCGAGGATGGTACTCCATCACTGAGTTATTCAGGTAAAAACGTTTGAAGTACATATAGGCTGATCCCTAAAAAAAGAAGCTGAAGTTCATACACATGATAACATAGGCACTGTCCTTGTACATGAGGAGTTAATAAATACACGGTAGATCAGACAGATAAATGAAACAGTAATGTGCAAAGCAATCACTGGCATGCTTACCTAGAAGAAAATATGGATTCAAAAGAGACAGAGGGGGCATTTTTGAGATATTTGAAGGAAAACATTTGCATCAGTTCCCCTGCCCCTTTTTCTGACTGAAAAGCAGGGTACTCCTGAGACAATAACAGAAGTGTATGAGGCAGAAAAGCCCACATATGTTACTCTGATCTCAGCTACAGTACGCTCAAGTTTTCCCACTTGTGTTTCTCCAGAGCAAGCAGCCTGCCTGCTTGTAGGGCTATTTGGGTGGTGGAGATGTGGGTGTAATCAGAAGCCCTGCCCTAAAGCATCCACATGTACGCAGCAGTATCCTAGATCTTTGCCCAGTGAGCACAAGGCCCTGTAGAGAGTTTTGTTAGTATGTTCAGCTGCACCTGGTCACACAGCTCTAGTGATTGGGAATGCTGCCTTATCAGGTTTCCTGTTCATGAGAGCTCTTTAATTATGTCCAGCCAGATACAAGGCCCTCTATGGACCTTTAGGTTCAACATGCAAAGATCTATGGCACTTCTGGAAACATAAGAGCCCTGCTGGATCAGGCCAAGGGTCCATCCAGTCCAGCTTTCTGTATCTCACAGTGGCCCCACCAGATGCCCCTGGGAACACATGAGACTGCTAGATACCTGTCTCCTGATACCTCCCCTGCATCTGGCATTTTGCGGTAGCTTCCTTTTAAGCCCGGAGATGTCTGGAGACCACATTTACGTGCATGCCCAATTCCCTACAATCTATGTATACCTACCTATGAGTGTACAAGCATCTGAATAGGCCTATAACCTTCTCTAACAGTGACCAATTGTATTATAAAACAGTTAACTTTTTTGACCCACTTCTGTCATCTCCAGTGTTCTCTTCCTAGGCTTCTGATGTAGAAACAATATTAGCAGTCTCTTTCACTACACTGCTACAAAACCAAATATCTGAACAAGCTGCTGCTGTGGCTGGAATTTCTGCTACAATCGCCCTTCTCTTTTCTTCAACCCTCCAGTTTCCACAGATGTCTGCCCATGCCAATGCAAAAAAACTACACTATTAAAAAAACTTACCACCACAGATCTGGGCATTGCAGGCTTGAACACTGAGCAGAAGTCCAATAACCTTTTTTCATAATATTTACATATTGCCAACTCCTCATGCGGCTCAAGAAGAAATGAGTCCGTCTGTTGAACCTTGCAAAAGAACGATAGGTATCTTAACTTTAAATGAGAACCACCACTGATACAGCTTACAGTTGATAAGTAATGTAATTCAATAGCACAATTCCATAAAGCTGGTGGGCAAATTTCAATCTTTGGGTATCTACCTTTATTATCATCATCATCATCATCATCATCATCATCATCATCATCATCATCATCATCATCATCAACAACAACAACAACAACAACAACAACAACAACAACAACAACAA